GAGAAGCTTTTAAAGGCTTTATCAAAATTTTATTCATACGCACACTGAGTAAAAATCTACTTACGAGCATGACAGTAACTTTTAATTGGATGGACAGAGAATATGACTTAGGAAGAGCTTTCCTGTGGCAAATTTTTTGGTCATGATTGGTTAAGATCAGTGTTGATCAGAGAATGATTTTATTTTGTGCCAACCGTGCATAAACTGTAAAGAAAGCTTTTGAAAGCTATGGTATGTCTATAAATACAGCTTTGGCGTTTGACAAAAGTCATTAGAAGCTTTAGTAAAGGCTTAAACTCTCTTTACACCCTTATCAGCTTAGAAAGACCGCAGCTCTAGAAGTTTTCATAATCAAGTAAGCTTTAGGCTCTCTACGAGCTTTTTTCTGCAAAAAGAAAGAATTAAAGTTCTAAATAATTGGGCTAACCCTTCATTGCGAGCTTCTAATCAAAGTTAGCGATAGGTTTTACCCGTATGCATCTACATAAAAAGTACACAAAGCATAGACAAGCTTTATAAGCCTGAAACATTTCTGCCATCATGGGTTCAAAGGAGCTGCTTTATGTAGTGCTTTTTACTTTAAGGACGTAAGTGGCGACGCCTTGTTCTTAAGCTCTGTACACATTTTATATAAATAGCCACAGGATAAAAGCTCTCTCTAGTCAACCCGGATTTACGCTTTAATTGACTCGTCATCCATTGAAAACTGGTTATTCAAACATTGCTGAGTAGAGAGAGAGAGAGAGATTTCATCCAGTAGGAGCATATTTTAAGTTTACATAAAGCTCAAACATACCTCGGCATGCGCAAAAGCTGTTGCCCATCACGATCTTATAGCTATAACTGCTATAAGCCTGGTGTTTCTCAGATTTACTAAGCTTTAGAGAGTTCGGAAGTATTTTATCTTTCTTTACATGAAAATATAATAATAATCTACTATATTTGGAACACTTAAAAGTGAAATATTGATTCGAAGCAGGCCAAAAGTGATTTTAATAGTAGATTAGTAATCGGAAAGAAGCTTATTGATATCCTTTAAAAAGTTCTTCGACAAATTCCTGCAAAGTGTTGAAAAAATCTGATATCGTATTGAAGGGATTTGTTTCTTACTTCGCACTTGCACTAACATTAAGCTTTGAAAGCGTTATTTGGAGCAATGAAGAGCGCTTTTTTAGCTTTTGTTCAGTAAAAGCACAAAAGCTTTCGAAGTTATCGTAATTTCTGCTTTGAAATATGCTTGACTAAGCACTCAAATGCCTTTTAAAGCTTTCTTAATCTGTTATTTTAAATTTTTAACATAAAATCATAAACGCTTTTTTAATTAAAGAAAAAGTCAAGCAATTTTAAACCAAGTTTTTACATGAACTTACAAAAAAATAAGTTTTCAATAAAAAATAAAATTTTTTTGCTCATAAAGCGAATAAACATTTTCAAAAGCTACATACGTTCACACGTTCACTGAACTTTGTGTTGTGTATGTTACAGGAAACAGTGCACGGTGGTATGCTTAAATACAACAGTGAAACTCAAAAAAAAAAAAAAAAGTTTTACCATGATTGCACATAACTCAAAGAATTTTCATTAAAAACCAAACAATTTGTTAGTGAAAATTTGCTAAAAATATAAGTGAAAGCAACCTAAAAGCTTAAGCACAGATATAAAAGGACGGACACAAAGTCAGCGGAAAGCTTTAAAACTCAAACAGCAATAGTATCATAATATAAAATATATAGCTAGTTTTTCCAATAAGGATGCAGTTGTTAGGGTTAAAAAATATTTTTATACTTATTTGTGTATTTTTTTGTTTTGGTTTTTGGTTATTAAATACAGTCAAAAAGCGCTGCGCACATATATGCAAATAAGAGCTTACCTTTTGTGGCAAAAACTGTTCTTTTTTTGCCTAAAATTTCCTAAATTATACTCCGAATAAAAATTTTTAGTTACAGATGTTATTTTTTTGAAATGTTATACATAGACATAGATAAATGCATATTTTTTATATGTACAATTTTTGCGCTAAGCAAATGATAGGCGGTTGGTTTTTATTGCAGTAAGTAAATAAGTACATAGTTATTAATTTGTTAGACAACCCCCTTAAAGTTTAAATGTTAACCGTTAGGCTAGTGTGTTTTAATTTGTGGTTGTGTTTGTGTTCGAATGACATTTTGGCGTAAGTTTCCTATGCTAACTGCTTTCCGGTTTTTCTTCCTTTTTTACTAGCTAATTATTGTACTTGTATTTTTTTGTAACTAATTTTTTCTGTGCGGATTTTTTTATTTATTTATTTTAATTTTGCACAGAGCTTTCTGCTATTGTACTTTTAATTTGTTTAGCTTCCTTATCTTCTTATTCTTTTTCTTATTCTCTATTCACCTTTCTTTTTCACCTAACAGTGGATTGTGTTAATTGTAATTTTCTGTTCCTATTATCCCCCCTTCAACTCACCTGTTGTACATCAGCACATCCGGCTTCCACAGCTTATTCGGTGTTATCCGCAGATCTTTCACGCCTCCATATTCAGTTTCATTCCATCGTAGATTATAGTCATTCCATTCCTTTTCGTGTTTTCATTATGAGTTCATGCGCATATTTTTGGTTTTGTGTTTGACAAGATGAGAGGAAAGAATTTGCGGTTAGTAAAATATGGTAATTAAAATATTTTCATAATAAACTATTGTAAAAACTTTATAAATAAAATAAAAATCCTACTTCATATAAATAAGTATGTAGCTTACTAGGCGCTATAAGATTTCTTGTTAAATTGCTTTTATAAACCTGTTTTCGATTTAAAGAGAAAAATAACGCTAAAAGCTTAAATAAGTTGCCTTATTTTTTCTCTATTTATTTAAGATTAAAATCACATACTGATTAAAGGTTTAGATAAATGACATCAATTAGTCAAAAAATTTATCTACTAAGACGACTCTGGATTTACAACCCTTAATTCGGTTACAAATCTTTGTTGATCTATGTTTAATTTAGAAATCTAGAAGTAAATGCTTCAATACCTTGCAATGAGTAGTAGGAAAGATTATGGCCACCTAAAAACGGCATGTATTCCTGTAAGAATTGCTGTGGTCCGCTTCTCTTCAAGAAAAACTTCGGCACGATGTTTCAACCGAGAAAGAATTTGGAATGAGCCTATTTTTACTGAACGCTTCGAAGTATTTATTTTAACGGTCGGCCCAAAAAAAGAATTGTGGCATAGGGGTGGGAATTTTTTAAACCGACCTCCAAATCGAAGAGTCTATTCGATTACCCGATTCGGCCAGTGTTTTTCCAGCAGAGGTGTTTGCCATCAAAGAGGCGNTCCTTACCTAAATCTGACTATTATAACAGAGCTGCGTACATCCAGTGTCAAATTTTTGACTTCAATCCATACCCATCTGTCTTCTAGCATTCTTTTGGTTTTCTTCGGATTCACTTTAAACGAACTTACTTTTTTAGAGTATCCTCCATAATTTTGCTTAAAACCGAAGGAAATTGATCAGATACGAGTTTCGCTAAACCGCAGCCTCAATTCTCTGAGAGTCTCGGTTTGCTTTCCGTTTGTTTAAGACCACAAACCATAGTAACCATAGTAACGATGAAAGCACTCCTCCTTGCTGGGGACCCTTCACTGGATATACGGACTTGCCGTGGGAACCTAATGCGGCATGAATTACTCTGCCCCTAAAAATAAATACAATTTACGACCGGATGCAGCGATACAGCCCTCTTATGTAAGTGCTTCCTGGAGGGAATCGATACCCAAACTGTTTGCGGTGAAGCGAGCGCTCCATCCTGCAAATACTTTTATGAAGAGCGGCCTCCGTGACTCCCCTCTTAGGTGGAGATTTTAAAAGACATTCGGATTATTGATCCACAATTTTTAACAGAAGCTTGACGATGTTACCCCGTCTTAGGAATATAAATTACGTAAATCTTCCTACAGCTTAGAGCTACATCGGGTGGCTTGTGTAGCCCTATCGAATTGAGAAACAAAGGAAATGCTGATTTGAATTGCTTTAAATTTTAGATTTAGTTTTGAAAACATTTTAAAAGAAATCTTATGCCATATAAAATATACGGAATAATTTCTAGTTATTATTACTGATATATACTACTTTTATGAATTTGTAGTCTTATAAATAAAAATACGTAAAACTAAATTCTGATTTATGCGCTGTATAATAAATTTTACTACTACTTAGATATATGTATATATATATGGAGGTAATTACTAATAAATATGTAAAAATTGAAATTGTGACCATCTAGCATATGAAAATATATATATCGATATGACTGTTATTTAGCGAAAATAAATTCTGAATAATAGTCATTAAAAAATTAAAGGAAATGTAAAGAAATTTTTACAAAAGTCAGTCGAAATGCGGCAGACAAAAATTTGTACAAAATTGTTAAAAAGTCTTTTACAGATAGAAAAATTGTATACGACTCACGAAATGATTATTTTGCAGTTTTGTTTTGAAATTAAAAAAAATAATAGGATCAGCGCATACAAGCAAAAAGTAAGAAAAAAGTTTTAATAATAGGCGTTAAAATTTTTATTTTTTTTTTTAAATAGAATTTACAGCCCTATTCCAAAGCAATACAGAATTAATCTCATTACAGTTGTGATAACTATTGCGTTCAAAACTATGCCCAATGAATTAAATTTGAAGCGCCTGACAGCCCTAGCTTCAAGCCTATGCCAAAACTCATCAATTTTCTGAATGCTGCGCCTAAAACTGTGCCGAAAAATGAGAATTGTCATCGACATACGAATGGAGCTGTGAGAAAAAATGGGTAGATTCTTTTGATATATGCAGTTTTAATTTTTTTTAGCACAGTTGTTATGGCATATTTTTAGGCTCAGTTATTATCCCAACAGAGATGAGTTGAATTTTGTATTGTGTTGGAATACGGCTGTTAGTAACACTTATTGCTTCATGCAAGAACAAAAGTAAGTTAGACATGCCTAAAAGTATGCAAGATGTACGATAAAACAAAAATATTAAATAATTTTGCTTGCAATAAGTAACAAAATAGCTTAATAATAATAAAAAAAAAATATTTTGACTTGGCTAAATACGAAAAATTACGATTCACTCAACATTAAAACGTTAGTTTGTGCTGAGCATGGTTAGTTTACAGAATACATTGCTGAGTGGAGTCAAGGAGGGAATAAGGAATATGTGTATACATTGTAAAGGTTGCCAAAGAAGCCAGGAGTCTAAAATAGAAAAAAAAAAAAATAATAATTAAAATACTAGTAAGTTATGACCACTGTGACCATGACCATATAAATCAAAATTTCAAACATTATTGAAAATTAAAAAGAATTCAAAAATCCCCAAAAATTTCATCAAAATTTCAAACTTTTTAATCTGAATTTTTAGAAAATTTAAGCGTATGCAGTTTTATAGCCTCAAATTTGAGTTAACTTGTAATAAAGTTTGATATCTAAACATCTTCGCTCTCGATATGGATATAATTTGCCTTAACCCAGCAGAAAATTTGTAACTGCTTCTGGTGCAACCCAGCAGAACATCTGTAACTGCTTCTTGCGTAGACAAATGAATAACTGTGGAGTAGTTCAGTGGTATACCAGGGCCATTTCGGGACCTGGTTAGGACTATTTCAGACCATTTCGGAGCTATTTCGAGACAGTTTCTGGAATAGTTCAGTGCATTTGAGACTAGTTCAGGCCAACTTAAAATTTATTTGGGGACTAGTTCGAGTTATTTTTCGGGACCTGTTCACGATTATTTCAGGCCCTTTTCAAAGCTTTTGAGACTAGTTTAGGACTATTTAAAGTATATTTCGGGGCTAGTTTGAATTCGTTTCGGGGTCAGCTCAGGCCCATTTCCGGACTGGATCAGCCCTATTTCAGGACCATTTAGGGATAGTTCGCGGCTGTTTCAGGACTACTTCTGGATTAGTTTGGCATCATTTTGGGACAAAATACAGATGCTTTCGGGATAAGTTCCACGACTTTTTAAGAACCACTTTGTGCGGGATCACTCCAAACTATTACCGACTTATCTTTATAATGGAAGAAAATGAGAACGACCGCTCATAAAAACATTCCAAAAAAATTAATGCCAATTTTTATAAATTTCACTTGTTATAGAAAAAAAGGCAAAAGACTGGCAGTCAGAAAAAGTTTTCTCCGAACTCAGATTAAATTGAAATTTTAGGATATTTTGTTGAAATTTGGTGAATAGTTTGAAACGTTGTTAATTAACATATGTATATAGTTTTCTTTTCATGTAACATGAAAAATATTTGTATAAAAATTGTAAAAAGTAAAAATAAAATACTTTTAACTTTAAAAAATTACCATGCGAACGATTGTTTAAGTTATTGTGTTTAAATTGAAAAGATAAGTTAGCCAAAGAAGCTTTGCATAAAGAAAACATTTTTTTTGTTTTACAACAGCATATGATAGTAAATTGAAAATCTAAACTAGAAAAAATACATGTAAAGTCAAGTAGATTATTAGAATATGAGTATTTGTATCTATTACATTGAAAAAATAGATAAATAGATTCCAATAAAAATGTGCTCAGAAAATTTATAGTTGATTAGTAAAATCTTAAAAAAAATCGTTATTAGAGAGGTTTATTTAACTTTAAATAATAGTTAATTTTATTATTATTCTAGTTTTTGATTACTATTTTTTAAATTCTGTAAATGCAAAAACAAAAAATTTTATAAAATCTTCAACATTTTTTTTTTAGTTAATTGAACTCATAAACGAAACCGCAGCGCATGTGTTGCAATATAAACTTAAGGTTTATAGCACACATTTAGCGGTAAAGCAATACAATTTCCCGCAAAAGAGAAGTAAAATAAAGCGAAGCAAAGAAATATAATTTTTCAAATAATCTATCTACAACTACGACTTTATACATTTTTAATTACGTTGTCAGTTGCTGTACCAGTGTACCAGCAGCGAACAGCAGCAGCATAATTGAATGTGCAACTGAGCTGGCAACATTGGTTTTTTTTTTTAAGTTTATTTTTAGTAAACTAGTTAGCGGTGATGTTGATGTTGATTTCTTGTTGGATTTTATGTGTGCTCTTGTCATAATTTGCTTTGGTTTTTACGAGTATAGCAAACAAGTTGAATAATAATTTCGTTTTCAGTAGTTTTTAAAATGAAATGTTTGTTTAAAAAGTTAACTGACTTTATAGCTATCTCTTAAAAAAGTATGTACGCATGGCTTGTATGTACAATGTACATACATATAGCTTGAGAATGTGTGTGTTTACTTACGTAGGTACTAAGTGCCCTTTTTAATGAACTTACATGGATTTTTTTCAAACTTAAGGTCGAAAAGAACCATAATGGTAAGGTAGGTAAAGGATTAAATGTTTCATAAAAAAATTGATCGCAAAATTTTATTCTGAATACCAGAAATATGCTTAAAGTCGATTCAGATATTAGTTTTTTAAATTACGCCCAAATGAATTTAAAATAGCGCCACCCAGAAATTCGAGAGATTTTACCCGTCAACGACACAATTTTCTGCCAAAATTTCTTCTAGAGCATCTCAATTCTCTA